TTTCGGGGTCCGGGAAATTCGGATCGCTCTCCTTGATGGCAGTGAGGGTCTTTTGGAGGGATTCGGTGAGCTGCTTGTTCCTCTGGGCCTCTTTGGAAGCGGCAATGGCCTCCAGAGAGGAGACGAGGAATTTGAGGGAGCTCATGGGGGAGCACTGGAGACACCAAGTGCCATTCGCGAGTCGAGGGACGGTTCGTGATCAGGAGAGATTTCCGTTTCGAGAGACAGTCGAGACGCCGATCTAGAAGTGTTGCAGTAGCAAAGGCAATGGCAAGGTATGTAGGTAAGCTGGGCCGGGCATCGAGGGGCGCAGGCGCATATGCAGGGCGACGTGGAGAGGACGGCAACGCAAGGGGTGGGCCCCAGGTTGATGTCTATTAGTTTGGTGGTGTATCCGGCGTCTTCGGAGACGGCAGCATCGAAGCTTGGGGGTTCTGGCAGAAGAGGATGGTACTAGTGCGGTCGGTAGTAGGTATTGCTGACCGTGGTGGTGATGGCGTTGATGGAGATGGGTTCCGAGGTTGGTGGTGATGGAGTGGTCGCCCCAGCTTCTCGAGAAATGCAATACGAAGCAACACCGCTATGCTGTACTGTATCCGTAGTCTGTTAGTCCTCGCGAATTGGACAGCACAGGTAAAAGGCCGTAGGATGGAGATGGCAATGACGGTCCAAATTTCTTTGAATGGAGGGACCCCTGGCTCTGTCCCACGCTTAGCTTGGGGAATGGGACCTGGCACTTGGAGCTACCTGAGTTCATGTGCTGGTCTTGACGGCTTGCACTGTGAGCTCTTGGTGTAGGGCTGCTCGTAAGGTGAGGAAACGCTGGGTTACGTTCGAACACTGTGTAATGTGTGAATGCCGGCACTGTAATCCGAGATGGCCCTGGTCGATTTAATGTAGCTGCTGCATGGAGCGTTCTTTTTTTTTTTTTTCCACAGGAGGACTCCAGCAGCACAGCAAGAAGACGGGGCCATCTGGTTTACGTGGCGGACTGAGCAGGGCGTGCGTGCACCAGGGAGCGGCCACCTCTTCATTGTTTAATTGCCTTATGTCAGCAATTGGAGATGTGGCACGGACACCTCAGACCAGGCAGAAGTGGGGCTTGGAAGCTGAGGTAAGCAAAGTGCATCCGTGTTCTTTTGGACTTCTCTTTTTTTTTTCCGTCTCAAGGAATGGAAGGAAGGTCGACGGTAGGCGAGTCTTATCTGCGGTGTTATCAGCTGTGTCACGTGGGGCTGCGCTTACCTGCGGCCAATGACCCAATGAATGGAGCACAATCACCGTAGGCCCGCACTGCCCTCAACATTGTCTGTTCTCATTGGACACACGGCCTCTCTTGCAGCATGGAAGTATGTACTTCGTACTCCGTCAGGTCCCTTGTTTTCCCGGGCTATTTCCACTCCTCCATCTCAAGTCCGAAAAGTTCCTCAGGCGTCTCGGTCTTAATCAAGGCCGCCCAGCGAGCAGAGCGATCGCGGACCCTGTTGGCCCTGGCCCATTGGCGTTAAGCACCGGCCACAATTATCGGCGAAACTTACAGAGCGCTACCTATTGTCCACTGGACCACTGTAGTCCAGGCCTCGCCCAGTGCCCTTCAGTGAGCCAACGTGCGCCTAACGGCCGTCCCTCCCTGCGGCGTATTTTGTAGGGACACGCTAGCTCCCGATTCGGCCTAGCGCCCCAAGCTCCATCCAGCGACGGAGCTCAACGCAAAAAACTCCAGCCCCAAGGAAAGATTCCCGTCCGACAATCTCGAGCATCAACCTCGCCATCCCAGAATAATCCCGCGTCGCCTTTCTTCCTCTCCCTCTTCCCCCCCCCTTCTCTTCGTCTCGCGCAATCTCGTCATTCAATTGCCCCGTAGGCTTCAATTGTTCGACGTCGACGGTCCTTTCTTTCTCTGAAAAAGGATCATCATCTTGAATCGTCGCCTCCCCCCCGAGCCCGGTCCGCCGTCCAACCATCGCCAAATTTCTCCCTGCTTTCGCGCCGCCCGCGAGAGCTATTTATTCACCATGATCTCTTCAGTCCTGAGACGGACTGTTCGTCAGAACACCCTCCTCCGCACCAACCTCTCTTCCCAGATCCTGAGATGTTACGCCTCCTACCCCCCGCACACCATCATCAAGATGCCCGCTCTGTCGCCCACCATGACGGCGGGAAATATCGGATCTTGGCAGAAGAAGGCCGGTGACAGCATCGCCCCTGGTGATGTCCTGGTCGAGATCGAGACCGACAAGGCCCAGATGGACTTTGAGTTCCAGGAAGAGGGTGTTATCGCCAAGCTTCTGAAGGAGTCCGGTGAGAAGGACATCCCCGTCGGTAACGTACGTCCACCCCGATGCCCAATTCCAAATTCCCCTCGTCGAGTCCGGTCGGGCGCATTTCGCCATTATGCCCATCAACATTATCAACACCCTCATGATGTATGCGCAAACTGACACTCCCCTCACAGCCCATCGCCGTCCTCGTCGAGGAGGGTACCGATGTCAGCGCCTTCGAGGGCTTCTCCGCCGCCGACGCCGGTGGTGAGTCCAAGCCCGCTCCCAAGGAGCAGCCCAAGAAGGAGTCCGAGTCCAAGCCTGCCCCTACCCCCGAGCCCGAGAACTCCTCCGACGACTTCAACAAGCCCGCCGGCAAGCTCGAGAACGCTATCGAGCGTGAGCCCAACGCCTCCTTCACCGCTGTCCGCCTCGCCAAGGAGAAGGGCATCAACATCCGCGACGTCAAGGGATCCGGCAAGGGCGGTAAGATTACCGAGGAGGATGTCAAGAAGGCTGTCTCTTCCCCGGTTGTCGCTGCTCCCGGCGCTTCCTACGAGGACGTCCCCATCAGCGGCATGCGCAAGACCATTGCCTCCCGCCTCGTCGAGTCTACCCAGACCAACCCCCACTTCTTCGTCTCCTCCAGCATCTCCGTCAGCAAGCTCCTCAAGCTTCGCCAGGCCCTCAACGCCTCCTCTGACGGCAAATACAAGCTGTCAGTCAACGACTTCCTCATCAAGGCCATCGGTGTCGCTTCCAAGAAGGTTCCCCAGGCCAACTCCAGCTGGCTCGGCGATGTCATCCGGCAGCACAACACTGTCGACGTTTCCGTCGCCGTTTCCACCCCCACTGGCCTCATCACTCCCATCGTCACCGGTGTCGAGGCCCGCGGTCTCGAGGGTATCTCCTCCGAGGTCAAGAAGCTCGCCAAGCTCGCCCGCGACGGCAAGCTCAAGCCTGAGCAGTACCAGGGCGGCTCCATCTCCATCTCCAACATGGGTATGAACGACGCCGTCGACAGCTTCACTGCCATCATCAACCCCCCTCAGTCCACCATCCTCGCCATCGGCACCACCAAGAAGGTCGCTGTCCCCGCCCTGTCCGAGGACGGCACCACCGGCGTCGAGTTTGATGACCAGATCACCATCACCGGCAGCTTCGACCACAAGGTTGTTGACGGTGCCGTTGGTGCCGAGTTCCTCAAGGAGCTCAAGAAGGTCCTTGAGAACCCCCTCGAGCTCCTTTTGTAAGCAAAATCTGCTGTCGTTGTTGTTGACGTTGCGTTGCGCGTGCGGAGGCAAAAAAGAGGCATGATGTGAAAGTTTCGAAGAGGCGTATCCGGCGTGAGAGAATTATAGACAATCCAGGCCGATGGATATGACCTGTGGCTTTTTTGCCAAAGGGAGGAAGCGGAGGGCAGTGGAAGATGGGCCGAAAGCATACACCATCTGCTCGGCGGCGAACGAGGAACGAACCCCCCCTACCACAACCTACTTCCCGTGTACAATGATCTCCTGAACTAATGCTGCATCTCGGGTGCGGAAGAGGTTTCTGTCTTGTACATTTGGTCTCCTATTCCCATTTTACCTAGAAATCCAAGCAGTTACCGTTGAAAAGCTGAAATCGCCTATATTGTGCTATCTATTTGCATGTGCGCATGTGTAAAACCAGTCAAATAGCCAGGAACGCGGCTTTTGGCGCGCTAACTCGAACTGGTTCAAGATCGGATGAACGCGTCAACACCTGGTCGTAAAAGGCCCCCCGGTGTGTCGGGTAACAGCCAAAAACGCGTATTAGATTCAGAGATACTACAAAGCATGTCTCGAGACAACGTTATATGCTACTCAGGTGCTTTCAAAAAATGTCTGGAATCTTTACCGCTTACTATGGCGGCATGGTCTCGAACATTGATGGAAGCCTTCGCAGCTTGAAGAGGCTCGCTTAGTCACTGTGTGGGGAAGGAAAGAGAAGATGGTGAAGCCCGATCTTGATCTAAGACTGATAGGTTTCTCTAAAAGTCGCGATAACTTGTTTTTCTCCTGTTGTTCACGTACTCAGATGCTTGTTCAGATGTTTGGGTCAATTCTTCATTTAAGTGAATCAAAACTTCTCTAGCCTTTCGGTTGGATGTGATTTCAATTATCCAGCAAGCTTCCGGTCCTAATGATGCAAAAAATGCCCCTACCTCTTGTAGAAAACACGACGATGGAATTTTTCTACCTCGTCTTATCAAAGACCTTACTTGGAGGATTATGGAGATAGGAACTTTGTTGACTTTCATAGAGCATAATCATTATTAGGGAGGAGCCTTTACTTTACCTTTACCTATGCGGCCAGACTTTCAAGCCGGCATTGAAGTGATATCCCGTGGAGTGCTCAAGAACGTGGGAATGAACAGAACGAGTGGATTTGATATAGGTTCTAGAGATGGTACGGCTCGATATGAAACAAAACCCAAGTATTTGTTCGGTACTTCCACTTCATGATTGCCACATGTGCACGTCCTTATTCCGTCCTTCACCAGATAGGAAATGAAAGACAAAGGGTTGTGTCAACCAGGAAATCAAAAGGAAACTAAAAGGAAACTGCGCACTTTCCGAGCTTGGGAGAATGGCCCGTAACTTTGACGACTTACTCTTTTTCTTGTCCGTAGCAAAGAAGAACGTCATTGCTTCTCATGCCCAGAGCAAGCCGCCAAGGACGACATTGACTAGAGCCTCGTCTTTGAAGCTTCCCCTACATACATCTCGGCAGGAAGGCTGAAAGAAAAGCGCGCTTATCGATTCTATGACCAACCTCATTGCTTGTACCCTTCACTTCCAATGTCGGCTTGACCCCCTCAGACTCAGTTATGCGGTAGTCTGGACTGGCAAGTGCAGCCACAACTCCGCCGTCCTTGAGTACGAGTTGAACCAGAGTGACAACCGCTTGCAGATTCGCCGGATACAAGGCCCCTCGCGTGAAGTTGCCTGGCGTTCTCAAAGGCTTCGGGGCTTTGTTCTTGATTTCAGCTGGTAGTTTGTCGCAGAGATCGTTGTACAGGTTGCAAGGCATTTCCTCCTCCCTTGCCCGATCGTTCGGAGATAGCATCATCCTCCTCTTCATCTCCTTTTGAACAGCACCCATGACATCGAGCAAGATGCTAGAGTCCCGTGTCGCGCCCTCTCCCCGCCTGTGAATCTCTGCCGCAAGAATCAAGGTGTTCTTAGCCGTTGCGAGCTGTTCCAGCTGTTCCTTTGGTGCACCGCGTGCTTCTGCAACGCTAATTAACCTCTCGACGTATTTGATGAGGCCTAACCCCCTGTTGAACATTGCTCTCCTCGTGAGCTGCTCACTCAAATCGGCTAACTCGATGAGATCATCTCGCAACTCTGTTTGGAGCTTAAGGTAGGTTTCTATGGCCTTGAGAAGGGCTCCCTCAAGGGAATTGTTGTTCGAGTTCCAGCGTTTGATGAGTTCCTCTGGCACAAGCCACTGACTGCGCTCCTCAATGACGATCATGTATCGAGTATTTTTGTGTTTGTTCCAGCTGCAATGTTTCTTGCAAACAGTACAATTGCCATAGTTCATGGCAGCACAGAAGTATTTAGATACGTCATCGCTTAAGCGGCATACTTCATGGCAGGTGAAGTTGCACTCAAGGCACAAAGTGGTGGCTAGGCCTGCGGGAAGGTCTTTCTGCACCGCCACGTCATGTGTGATCTTGACTTTCTGGCCGGGAGCCGCACCAACGGCTTTGGCGAGTGCCCCCATATTTGCAATCAAGTTCTGGGCCTCAGTTGCCGTGCGAAGAATTTTCTTTTCTGCAAGTTGGCACTTTTGCTCCAGTAGGATTCGATCTTTCGTCACCTGGGCGCTGTTGATCGTAGGAATTGGCGTCATGGAACGGAGCATTTCCATGACCTGGAACTGTCCTCTGACGCACTGAATCCAGCCGTCGCGGAAGACATCACTCTGGACGCCTGTTGGATTGATGCTGAATGCGCTGTTATTGACGGAGATCTCTCCGTTCTCGATGGGCCATTCCAGCTTTCTCAAGGTCGCGCGAGCCAGGGGCTCACCGGCGTCACTAAAGGTGTAGATGGTTCTAAGACACGATTTGACGTCTTTGGCGAAGAGGGAGAACACATACGTCGCCACGGGCTCAAGGATTGTGGTGCGTGTCTCGTTGGCGCGGCAAGTGAAGATGATGGCGTTGACATGTGTGACCGTTTTGAAGAATTCTGACATGGCAGCGGTCACAAAGGCGTCGCGTGCCACCCCTCTGGTGTCACCGTAGCCAGGAGTGTCGACAACGAGAATCGTTCTGCCATAGAATAGAGGATTGAGTGGTCGGATCCTGTAACAGTTGACAATCTGTGTCACCGATTCGGCCTGATTGGCACCGCGATCATCGACAACCAGTATGCGTGCCTCATCATCTATCTCACCACCGAAAAGAAACGAGATAAATGCATTGATCTGGGTGCTCTTTCCGTGACCGCTAGTACCAGCAAAGACGACAACCAAAGTGTCATCCATATTAGTGATATCGGATGCTTGTATCTCGGGTTTGAATTGAGGCGCGACATCCATGATGCGGACAACAACTTCGCCTCCAAATCTCCGGTCTGAGGTCGTCCGCGAAGCCACTTCCTTGAGACCCAGAAATAGTGTTGCTTTGCGACCAGACTGGTCAAGGCCCCATGGTGTCAAAATACAGCCGGGTGTCCTTTTAGATAGCGAAGCCCTGTTCTTGGCGAAGAACGCAACCATCTCCGAAGCCACAGACGGCAACTTGGCTGTGCGGCCTACAGCAGGTATGCTCCATTCTGAAGGTCCGATGAGTGTTTGGACACTGATGGCTATACTGTGATCGCAGTCGTCCGGCAAGTCCTCAAGTAGCACTGTACTGGTGGAAGCTGAGAACTTCACTTCCGTCACTTTCTCGTTCTCGCCTGCCCGGGGGAAAGCTCCATCTTTCTGAGTGTTCTTCTGACGGCGGTATTGCAAGATGAAGCCCGTGATTGGGAAGGCCGATCTTTCTCGCTCTTCTCGCTCCTCTGGCTCTCGATCCCAAGAGACGGTGATGCTCTGGCCGAGCACGGTGAGTTGAGGGCTGGCGGGCGCCTTGGGGAGCAGCCCTGTGACGATGAGATTCTTGGTGGGGCTGTGAGGGCTGTCCAAGAGAATATCTCCCATGCTGGTTTTAACCCTCTTCCCTTCCCCAACTCCGGGACGGTAAGCTTTCTGTATGAAAGCGATCCCAAATTCGACGGCATCCCCTGATAGCAGCCGTTGTTGACGAAGAGTTGCGCAAGACTGCCTGACGTTGGAGACAATTTGTTCGTTTTCGAACCATTCTTCTTCTGCGTCATCATCAGAGTCGTCGTCCGATGTGCCGACGCAGTCTCCTGTATCACCGGGTGCCTTCAAAAGGGCCTCTTGTAGTGGATGGGTCGAGGCTCCGACGAAACGATCGCTCAAGGACAAAAACAGCCTCGGTTTCTCTACGTCGACCATCGACTTGTGTTGCAGTCCGCCGGCGGCGCCGAGGTGGTTGACAAACTTGTCCGTAACAAGCGCCGCGACAGTCCCATTAAGAACAAAAGCTTCACTCTCCTTTCGCTTGATAAATCTCTCAGCGATGGCGATACGCTGCTCAAAGAGAGTGACGGTTGAGTGAAGTTCAGAGATCTTCTCATTTTTATCACTCCTAATATCCCGCAACTCAGGTAGCAATTGACGTGCATCAATCGTGAAGCTGGTTCGAGATTCGGCGAACATGGCTTGGAAATTGGATATCTGGCGTCCAATGTCAAGGAAGTGTCTTTGGAATACCTCGAGCTGAGCGAGGTCTTGCAGCTTAAGGGTGGTTGTCAATCCCGCATGGAGCGTCTTTGCTGTCTTATCGACGAGTTGAGAGTCAAGAGCCCGTACGAGGCACTTCACCTTGTTGTTGATAGTAGATAGTGGTAAGAGCTTGTAAGAGAGAGTGTTCATCTGTTGCGCTAGTTTATCGGGCATTTCTGCTGTAACGCGCCGGGCATCGTCAAGGTTAGATACACTTTCGGCGATAGCGCCACTGTATGAGATCCTGACGTTTTCGAACTTCTCGTCCTTCTGTTTTGAGAATTCCACCGTGGCAGACCCATTGACGGGAATATTTGCAACGCCAGCTCTGAGCTCGCTCGTGACCTTCCTGGCCTCGTCGGCAGTGGAGCAGGACTGAACATAGCTGAGGGTAGCGCTGCCACCTTCGACCACCTCGGAGACGAAGTGTGTGAAACGGTCACTGTCGAGGTATTGTTCGTACTTCATAGCGGCCAAGGTCTCCTGGGGGATGCGACGCGTGCGACGCACCACCGAGCACGATACATCAATGCGTGCCTCATGAGTGCTTGTTTTCTTGTCACCAAGGTACCTGGCTGCGCCCGTTGCGGTGACCAGCTGAAGATCGAGGCCCAGTGAGCCCTCAAGCCCCAACGAGCTATTTTTGCGTGACTCCTCAAGTGATTCCGAGAAGTGGAACTCAGCCCCCTGGAGTTGCTTGGTGTCGATCTCCGCAGTGGGATTGACGGTACTGTTATCCCAGAGGGAAATACCACTGAAGAACTGTGACGTCCGCGCATCGTACATCATACCGAGCTGGACATCCTGATCAAGAGCAGGTTGAGAGATGGGCTGAGAAAGAACCAGGTCGTTTGAAGTGTGATCCATCTTGCCTGAACGCTGACAATGTGCAATTGAAGAGATGATCACGAAATGGAAGTTGGAGGAAGAGAAAGAAGAACTGGAAAATGCTGGAATTTCCTTGAGCAGGCTGCGAGATTTTAATCACTGATAAAGGCCGAAAGTGCATCTTGGCGAATTAGTCAAATAAGAAGTGAATGTATCTTTTCTCTCTGATGGTGGTTAGCAGGGGCTCAAGTTGGAGAACAAGACTTACATGTACATCAAGACTATCAAACTGACGTTCCACGAGTTGACTTTGAGGAGGTCACCGACATGTACGGTAGACCTATGGCGTTGCGCCTGCATCCATCCGAGACCTTATGATTAGCCAAGTTTCTGCTTCTGTCTGCTCGTTACTGTAGGCTCAGCGCCATTGCCCAGGTGGCGACCGAGAGTGAGGACTGTGAGATTCACAGATTCACATCCAACGAAATCGCATTTCGTTCAAAAGTTTACACGGAAACATTGTTGAAGACTAGGCTATCTTCAAAAAAACCATTTGAAGCTTCGCATAGCCAAAGTCTGATTGTCATTGTAGCTAAGGGCTGGGATTTGGCAGTTCAACAGCGTAAGGTAGGCGTAGTAACTCAAATAACATGAACGAGTGAACTTTCGCGATATCTCACTTTAATATCCGCAAGGCTCTGGCTGGTAGTGCAATGAACATGCATGTGTGACGTGTCACGTACGAACATTCGAGTGGATGGCACTTGAAGGTAGTACACTGCATGACATCTTGCCAGAACTTCGCATCCCTCGGAACTCCGTTGAAGCATTGGCTGGACCGATCCCCAATTTGCCGAGCTTCCACATCAGTCGGCGTTTCCGATTGCAATTCGGTGATCTTTTAGCCCGAGCATTGAACCAATCAAACTGCTAAGGATCTCGGTGTATGGCGGGCGGAACGTCCCAAAAGCGCAAGAATCCCGACGACATGTCGGGGATAAGCTCTGTCTTACTTCCTTCGCCATTGAACTCATCGTTCTCCTCCCTCTTCACAACTTACAATTATCTGATCATCTGATAAGATCTCTTACAAGATCTGCCAGTAGTACCATGGACCCGTCGAATCCTGGCCCAGGCAACAGCTTTCGATAAACTGGGCCTAATCTACTTGGTGAGATTCGGACTCAGTTCAAAAAGCCGAGCATCCCACCAAGCTCGCCCAGCCCGCGTCCCATGATCGCATCCTTCCCCTGTTTCCCAATTCTCCAACCAGAAACTTGTAGTACTCCCCACAATGGATTCTTTGAGAAGCCCAGATCAGTTCTCGGCGCCGAAGAAGCGGCGTAGGCCTGCTCTGGCATGCGAACAATGCCGCCGTCGGAAAGTCCGCTGCGATAGGAATCTCCCCTGCAGCACCTGCATCCGATCCAAACACGCCGTCTGCACATACACCTCGCAGGCAAAGCCAACGACTAGAAACAGTCCCAAACATGGGGCTGAAGTTAACGAGGGTTCTCTTCACACGGCTCTCCGCCTGCCGGACCTTGTCCTTCCCGCGCCCTCATCCCTGCGGGCGAGGCCACCGGTGACTTCTTCTCCCGCCGTTGGTGCAGATACCACTCTACCCACTCGGACACGGCTAGAAAACTTCAAAGATCCCGTCCACGGTTCGACCAAGGCCAGCGAATCGGGTCTCGGGTTCCCGGAACCGATCATCCCTACTTCTCGGCCCCTGTCAGAGGCATCTCCCACCACGCATGACCCAAGAACGCTCGACGGAAACCCTCTCTTCAACCCCACTGACCCCGGTGAACATGGCGGACTCTCCGACTTTGGGATCTGGCGGCCGCTAAACCCTTCGCGTCCCCCGGCTTCCGTGAGCGTGAGAGCGGAGACGGCATCGACTCCTGGAAGTTGCCCCGGCTCCTCGTCGACGGTAAATTCTCTGGTTGATCGGGTGAAGCAACTTGAGCAGCAATTGTCGGATCTCACTGTGAAGTACGGTGCTAGGGAGGAAGATATACCTCAACCTACGCCTGGTCTCCGAGAAGGGTTGAGGTATAGTCGTGGCTGCGTCAGCAAGACTCGTTACTTTGGGCAGAGTCATTGGATGAATGCTGCTGATATGGTTAGTACTAATCTCATTTCAAGTCATCTTGATTCAAGCCGCTGCTCATTATTCCCTCCTATTTCCTAAAGGGTCAATTGCCTCTCATCGCTCGCCTGTCTCTTATTTTTTGCTCTGCTATCGTCCAGTTATGGTTATAGACTCTGGTCCAGCATGAGGATCTAGACACACTCCTTGTCACATTCTATCAGCGTGGTAGATACTTACACTTACTACAGTTGTACCGTCTCGTCAACTTTGCAAGGAAGTTTGAGAACCGTCGATCATCTCAGCTCTATGTTGATCTAGAAAGATGCAAAAAGCTAGGCCGCATCATCAAAGCCCGCCGGACCCCCTCATTCAGCACAATCTCAACTGGCAAGAGCATGCCCTCGCGAGACTTAGCAGATGTTCTCATTGGAAACTACCTGCGCACCTTTGAGTGCATCCACCGCATCGTCCACGTCCCGACCTTCAAAGCAGACTACGAAAAGTACTGGCTGAACCCCTCCGACGCGAGCGACTCCTTCATCATCACCATGCAGCTGTGCATGGGCATCGGCGCCACAATGCATGACGAACGCTTTACCCTCAGAAATCTGGCCATTCAGTGGTTCTGGGAAGCCATGTTCTGGCTCATTGCCCCCTGCGAAAAATCCAAGATGACTATCCCAGGGCTGCAGATCCGATGCTTGATGCACCATCTTCGTCACACGGCCAATATCGGCTGTGATCTCACCTGGATCGGCGCTGGTGCTCTTCTCCGAACGGCTATGTACATGGGACTGCATCGCGATCCCAAATCAATCATCAAAATGTCTCCATACCGCGCTGAAATTCGTCGGAGGCTTTGGGTCACGATCTTAGAGATGACGCTGCAGACGAGCGTCGACTCTGGAGGCCCGCCTCTTATTTCATTAGACGACTTCGACACTGAATTACCGGCAAACCTAGATGACGAGCAACTCGTCGAAGATGGCGAGTCCGCCTTCCCTGTGCCCAGGGATTCGGGTACACACACACAGATGACGATTCCGCTGGCATTATTCGGAACATTCGCAGCTCGTCTCGCTGTAGCAAAGCGCGTCAACGAGTTCCGCTCAGATACAGTCTACGAAGAGACCCTCCGACATAGCAACGAACTGAGCAGATCGCTCCAAAAGATGATGCAGCAGCTTAAGGCGTACCCGTCTGTCACCTCTTTTCAGCTGCGATATGTTCAGACCCTGACGTACCGGCTCTTCTTTGCCCTGCACCACCCGATTGCCCCGCTGGCGCTGCGGAACCCCGTTTACTACTTCTCTCGTAAGATGGTCGTTGACACGGCGTTGCGACTGTGTGAGGTTGCCTTTCTGGCACCTGACAAGTCTGGCACTGGCGCCACGATGAAGCCTGCGACCCCGTCGGAGGTGGATTTCCATCGGTTGACTATTAATGGTGCCGGGTTTTACCGATCTGTTCCCTTCCAAGGCGTCATGACACTGGGGTTGGAGCTCATCAACATCAAGGAGGAGGAAGTGAGGAATGGGCACTCCATATTCTACAGCGGCTCTGAAGATCAGCTGCGCGGTATTCTTGACGCTGTGTACGACTGGTCGCGGAATCGGATTCGGTCGGGAGAGACGAACATCAAGGGCCACGCGCTGAGTGTACTTCTCATTGCTCATATTCATGGCTTGGAGCAGGGTGTCAGTGATGAAAAGATTGAGAACTTCTTCGAAGAGGCGTGTAGGGAGCGTGTTAAGGAGTGCCATGATTTGCTCAAGGAGTTGGCTGGAGGCGATGTAACTGAGGAAGGGGTCAGCATGCCCGATGTCCACGATTTGGATATGGACTTTGATGCCGGCGTCGACATGCTCGGGGATTGGGATTGGGGCACATCTTTGGTAAACATTCTTCCTACAAGCCCCAAACTGGTTTGATTCCGCCTTCTAACTTGATTCCAGGACAATAATGGGTTCGGGTTCAGTTCCATTATGAACTTCAACGCTATGCCTGAGATGTTCTCATGATGCAGCACTCAATCTGTTGGAGACACTGCCTTTGGAACTAGTATACAATCATCTGTCATGGTATTCGTTCGAAAGTCAGTCCGCAACTCTGCAACATTGCGTCTTCCTGCGACAAACTGAGTGGCGGAGATCAATTCTCTCAGCTCAGTCCTAGACCGCGTGCTTGATCAGACTAGACCAAGCCAGAGACGAAATCTATTCACGAGAAATTACTCCTCTTCGTTGACAACCTTATGAAAGGTAGTTAGTGCTTGGGGGCTTATTGCCGATGAAGCTGAGGCAGAGAAGAATAGGCAAAAAGGGAGATGGCGAGGGCGCTCCGAGGGCGCAACGGGGTAGAATTGAAGAGCTATAGGAGAAGCGAATACACTAAAGAAGAATTAATAGAGGTTTTCATCATGTGCTACTAGGCGAGAAGATGCTATACTATGAACACTTGCCAAGTTCTGATGACAAGTGTTCGACTTTGAACAACTCAACGTGTAGGATTCAAGAGTAAAAAGAAAAAAGCCCAACCGGACGGAAGAACACCGAAGTCCACTGCAAAAGATGAGTAAACAACCGTCTCAGCATGGCTGTGAGTGATATTTTCCGCTGCGGAGATTCTGTAATTTCGGCGTTTGGCGGGAATAACAGCTGAATCTTGTTGCATTCTACTCTAATGCTCTGAAGTACCTTACGTGCTTACCTACTTTAGCTGCAGTTCAGTGCGACAGCGACAGCATGTAGCAACCTGGGGCTTTAGCGGTGCAGTGGCTGCTTGCTGATGGCCCTCCTCTCATAGCTAGGTACCAAGGCGAAATTAGACTTGAGCTTCGAGCTGGCCAGCGTAAGTCAGAATCGGATGAAAGCCTCACACCGGTCAAGGAATTTGTGACTATGACTGGATGGAATTAGCAACTATGCGGTGCAACAATATCCCGTCAGACAAACAGAAGTCCCTTCATGGACCCCTAAGCTTCGGACTTGGTCCTTTTGAGGTCTTACTGCCTTGGTGCAGGTTCCAGAAGCAGCCGCGCACGTAATTCAGGCGCCGTGAGATGGCGATAGCGCTAACTCCGGGACGCCTTCCGCTGGCAGATGACTCTGTAATTCGTCTGCTAAGGCGCCAGGGTGGATTCAATGTCCGCAGGACGCGGCCGCACCGCCCGCTCCGTCTTAGACGGCTGAGATTGAAAAGACGGCCGAATCGCTGCTGACCTGACTGAGATGTAGATTATTGCTCTCTCATCTTATTCACTTTTGATATCCAGGGCACTCTAGCAGAAGTGATCATTTCCACAGTGACGTTGTTGTCATCTCTAAAGCACGACTCAACCGACACTACTAACACGATGCATCTCATCCTCACTGGAGCCACTGGCCTTGTAGGCTCAGGCGTTCTCGATGCCATGATCAAGATGAAGGACATCACAAAGATCTCAGTCCTCAGCAGAAGCCCGATCCCCATGGCCGAAGCCTCAAAAGATCCTCGAATCAGTGTCATCATCCACAAGGACTTTGAAAAGTACGACGCAGACGTACTCGATAAGCTCAAGGGCGCAAATGGCGCTGTGTGGGCACTGGGCATCAGCCAGAACAAGGTCAGCAAAGAGTAAGCACAACCCCTTCAACCACCCCTACGAGAAGTGCTTACACGGCCGAAGGGATTATGTCAAAATCACAAAGGACTACACTTTGGAAGCAGCAAAGGCTTTCGCCAACCTACCGCCGAACAACGAACCCTTCCGCTTCATCTACGTCTCAGGCGAGGGCGCGACGCAGACGCCGGGCCGCTTCAGCGCCATCTTCGCCCGAGTCAAGGGCGAGACCGAGACCCTCCTCTCCGAGATGCGCGCCGCGAACCCGCGTCTGCGCGCCGAATCTGTCCGCCCTGCCTTCGTAGACAAGGCCGGCCACGAGGCCGTCGAGACCTATGCGCCCAACGCCGGCGCGCTGTACAACGCCATGAATATGTTCCTCGGTCCCGTGATTCGAGCAACTATGCCGTCTTTTGTCAGCCCGACAGAAGTTTTGGGCAAATTCATGAGTGAAATGGCGATGGGCAAGATGGATGACGGACTTACTGCGGGCGGGAAGGGGATTATTACGCTTAACGGCGGATTGAGGGTCGTGGAGAATGTTGGCTTCAGAAGGTTGGCTGGTTTGCAGTGAAGATACCCCGTGAGATATGAATCCCAGTGCCGACGTGTAAAGTAGCTTTTTCGTTGTAGTATTGCGTTCCATTAGCAGTTGAATTATGACTCACCATACCGATTGTCTAAATGTTCAGGGTTTACACTGATTTGCGCTCGCATCTTTGGACATGGACGATTAACTTGTCGCATTGCCAGACTCCAACACTATATAATGCGTGGTCTGGGGCCAAGTCGCCAGCCAAAACCACTCATTGGATCCCGCAGGGATCTCCTGGCTCAATGGTCTAGTGGTATGATTCGCCCTTCGGGTTTACCAATCCTTGCGCATAGCGTGAAATTGGGCGAGGTCTCGGGTTCGAATCCCGATTGAGCCCTTCCGTTTTGCCAATTCTTGATATATCGTGTCAATGTTGATTTGTTTTTGGCTGATGGTCGGTCATTCCTGCATGTTTGCGAGCGACGGCTTCGTCGCTTTGACTTGGTTGTGGCCAGACAACCCCTTTTGTGGTCTAGAAAGACTGAAGCTAATACGAAGTTAAGGCACTCATGTCGAGATTGTGCTTGGCTGACATGACACGGCAACATTCGCGAAAAAACATTAGTGGGTGACACGATGAGCGACAATGGGTGGTCAGGCAGTATGAAGTGGATGCGGGCTAACTTATGTATTGTTGTCGCCATGCGAGCTATCTGGAGCCGGACTCTCACTTTGGCATGCTTGCCAACGACCCAAAAGCCCCTTCCCATATCAAACGAATGCCAGAGGGTAAGACGCCCCGATACCAGGAAGCCAAGACGCCCGAACGCCGAATTACGAAATCCTCAAGACCTCGAGGCCGGATCTCTTCTGGTCGTTGTAACCTCTCTGCCGTTTCTTATGATATCATCCCAGCATGCCTTTCTCCCTATACCTATCCCCGTATTCCGTTTTGTCGTCCTTGACCTAGGAGCTCCCAAGTACGTCTCGACTCATAGTAGGAAAGCGATGTTCAACATTGGAACCAATCTAAGACAGATGGTTGGCAGCTGGGCGGCGTGTGTTGCTAGCGAATACGCTCTAGCTGCATCGCTTGGTCGGCCCATGTAGTAAGTAGCAAGGAGATGCAGTATGCCTTACACCATGTAAGCAATATAGCTGCTGTCTGGTGCAACCGGCGAAGATTCTGCCGAATAGTCCTCGTCGCCTTCATTGTCCTCATATGGCGCGGAAATATGGAAGACGGTACCGTAGGCGGGAGGCGGGGTGTTCCCTTCGAAAGCAAGAAGCGGTCTCGCAGTAGAGTCCTCGCGCTCATATCGAGGGAGAGGCTCCGATTGATCCCCAAAGCTGCGCAGGTTGGGCACCGTTCGTAGGTTGTCTCCGTAGTGGTATTGTGGTGGATTGTATCGGGCATCAAGGTAGGCCACGACCATATTGGTTCCGAGCGCTATGCTTCCGAAGAAGACGAAGCTGAGAAATATCAAGAAGAGCGCTTGAGGGAGGGACATGTCCCAAGGGTCGCCGTGCATGTCTTCCATGGCCTTGAGTATGGAGTCGGAGATGCTGAAGTCGTGGATGGCGAAGTAGTAGTCAACACGTGCCTCCGGAATGTACATTTTGATGTCTGGTGTAAGTGATGATTCTGCTCTGATCTGTACTTCAGTTGCGCTCATGCCTGATGACACGACTTGGTGTGTATGGGGAGAAAGCGTGGTGTTGTTTTTCTCAAGCAGGTTAGAACAGAATTGTGGGTGCATCCTCTAGGAGATTGCATCCAGCCAGGTAAAAGCTCGTCTTTGGGTGGGAGCGTGAAAGCGATTTATTCTACAATTCCTGGTCTTTCTCCGGAAGGAGACAATTAAGCTTCACGATTACCGTTTTTGCCAAACTAAGGTGGCTTCTGGATGTCCTCAGGACCCGTCTCTCTCTGCCAAGGAAGCACCTTGATACCACAACGTAGGACAAGCTTCTCTCCCGCCCACGGCTCGTCCATGTATGAACACCTGGAAAACCAGAGCGTTGTGGTCAGGTGGAAATGCAGCATCACTCAATGACGAATGAGAACGACCCGAGGAGGGGACAATGATCGAAATCTTCAACTGTACAGGATACGAAATGGAATAAATTCGTTTCACTATTCTTTCCATTAGCAAGCACTTCCATACTTACTCAGCTAAGGTACATGTACGCAAGATATCCCTTGTTGGAATGACATCACTCTCATTCGGCAGATCATCTGCTCCCTCAATGTTGTCCACCTTTCTTTATGCCTCTGGCTTTCTTCCGTAAATATTGTAACTGTCATGAGATGTCAGCTAATACCAATTTCAGGACCAACTTATTACTAACACTGTCCAGTACCCATGAATAGACCTGTCTTTCAGGTCCTTCCGGACATCAACCAGGAAGACCTGCACTTCTTCCTTCGTCCAGTTGTGTATGCGAGTAAAAGCGGCCATGGTGAAGCCCTCAACACCAGAAGACATATTCTCGTGGTTCCACATGCCCAATTCCTTATACTTAGAGTCCCTAGCCCATGCGTTCGAGGGCCATTTGTCGCTCTGGATTGCAACATCAACGAATCCGACCTCTCTCATCATCTCTGCAAGCGGTTCGATGTGCTGGTAGGGCCTTCCAAACTTGATGGATGCATCATAAATCAGGTCGACACATCTGGAGACAGCATGTTCCGGCTTCAAGGTACCATCGTCGGACTTGACGAACACGTCGTACTCCTGTAGCTCTAGAAAACCTCCAGATTTGAGGTTGCTGCAAAAGTATGAGTCAACAGGCATGTTTCACTTTCGTCTGAGTTTTCGACGAGGGCTTCTTACTCAAAGCACTTTTTTATGTAGACTTTCCAATCAGTGATTGAGGAGTTCATCGCCCGTGTGTGGATGTAATCGAACGGCTTCGAGTAGACCCAAGGCTCTTCTAGGTCATCAATCTCGAACTTGACATTAGGAGGGATGCTTGAAGGTGTCAGTGTCTTGAAACCAGGTGCTAATGCAGTCCCAAGTATGGCTGCTAGTTTAACTTGACTTTTATACCAGGTACTTACAACTGTGGCATAGACGGGGAGAGATCAATGCCGAGGACCTGTCTCTGCCATTAGCTTTACACCATGAAAGGCATCTATCAGTACTTACCTCAGCTTCAGGGTGTTCCTCTCCAAAGTCAACTGCCCAGATTCCAGTGCCAGTGCCGACATCAAGGACCCTCTTCACCTTTGAGTCGGGGGCGTTCGGAGGTGCGAGACCCAGCTTGTTATCCAAGGTCAGAAGGAAAAGGTTGTGTTGCAAATCTGGCTTGCTTATCAGCTTAGTTGAGGCCAGTTGAACAGAAGGACTCACCCAGTCTGTCAGATTCCGATGCGTCATTGGGAATATGATATTCTGCGTCATCGACGTCAGGTGTGCTCTTATTGCCGATGTTCCATTGGGTCAATACTCACGGCCGTCTTTGTACTTGTGGTACGTTCGACCATTTTCGATTCGATAATCAAGAATGGAGGAGGTGATACTCGTGCTTGATGAAGCGATGCTCTGTTATTGATCATTAGCTCGACCATGTTGTCTAGGATACAGTCACCAAGACTCGAACTCACCTCCCTAAGCTCCGACGCGTTGTCATTGGGGGCCTAATTCATGTCAACGATTGAGAAGAAATGGGGTCCTGTGTCTTTCACTGTACATCTTGGGGAACGATGTGTCCCGGGCCTTCGACGGTGGCCAGGTTCGTGGCCGCAGGGGCTGCGCTTATAGTGTTGCTGGACATAGTCGGAAACGGAACAAGAACAAAGGCGTCGAAGGTTGAGATCAGGTCTTTCACCCTGAACGAAATGGCAATGTTTCCTTAAGAGTTTTTTTTTTCGATTTAAGGTGGAGGAGATCACAACAGTGATACGATTAGCACGTGTGCACAATAGGCTTGATTGATTTCCATTTACCCCTCTCCTTGGCTGGAGACAAGCATGCATGTTGGCGGCAAAGATACTATTCACGGCGTATGCAAGGTTCGTAACCATGGAACCAACGCACGAATCTGGACGAATTGGTTAGGTAGAGTACGACGTGGAGCTTGTATGGTGCCATGTTGCAGGGTATAGCGTATATCTATAATTATGCAGCGCACAATTGTTTGTGAGTGCGTTGGTAATTCCATCACTTTTCATAATTACGAAGATAACTCTTCACGACGAGAGCAGACTGGAAGATAGCACTGTGATTTGACGTTCATGGTAGTATGTGGACTGAGCTTCAACGCACCGCAAGCTGCAACAGCTGGGTGATCTCACATAGTCGTTGGGATTTAAAGGTTCTCAAGATGACAAGCACGGCCGATTTCAATCTGGCAGGGTCGCCTCTGAAAAGCGAAGTATCCGAACGGGTGCATCTTCTGAGGCTTACTGTTTCCAAGATTGAGACAAACTTAAATCTTCTTTAGTACTATCACCATAATCAAAGGCCTCATTAGGACTGGTAACCTCAGATTGGTTCCACTTTGTCTTCCTCAGGCCCTCCTCCAAACGCAGAGTAGCTAGGCCACGTTGTCAGCTTCGAGGCGCGATAGCAGCAACGCCTGAGAGACAAGAACGACTTACATTGGCAAGTAGGCATGAATATGCCGACCTCTCAAATGTTTTCGCACGTCAATGAGAAACAGGTGAACCTCCTCCTAGGTCCAATGATGTGCCCTACCTTAGTGAGAGGGGCCATGGTAAAAGCCTCGAAGCCGTTGCAGAAATGCTCGTTATTCCAGATTCCCAATTCCTTGTATTTGTGATCTTTAGGCCAGGGGGTTGAAGGCCACTTGAAGGCATGCATTTCCTAGCTAGTGTAAGTGATTTAATGCCATCCACAGTACAGGGAATTGTACGCTTCTCACTGCCCCTCTGCTTGGCCGGATTCAATCATGCGGGACCACGGCGAGGATACTCTTTTTGGCGAGGAAACGTTCGCGAAAAAGGAAGCATCGCGCGTAACACAGCGAGTCTCCCAGAGAGAATGGAGCTCGTACGATAACATCATGCAGTTGGTTGTGATGTCTGATGCCTGGCATGGTGGCTCGTGCATGGAAGCCATGTCGTTGGATCACATCACAGGGACATTTCCGACAATTACCAGCTGCAGCAGCCTGTTTGCTTCGTGGTACTTTCCAAAACTTTGACACATACGGATGATACGTCGCGGCTCATTTGGATGTGGCTTATGAGGCTGAGATTAGGTGTCGTTGCAGGAGGTTCGGGAGGGGGTCCCTTCTATAGTTCATGCATACTCGTACACCCAGAGTTCGGACGATCGGGCTTGAAAGGCGACTGGATAGCGCAAGCAAGTTGATTCGTTAGGTGTGCATCATGCAATGAAGCCCGAGACGGATTTTGAGCATGACAAAGAGGGAACAGCACGAGCAACTGGGGGGCATGGAGTATTTCGAAGCAGCTCGTTGGCAATAATCAGCTAGGATAATCACACGAATGTGTCAGTTTGAAGACAAGCTTTCAGCAGGACCCGTACGAAGTTGTAGACCAGCGGGGCTACCCCGATCCATCATCTCAAAGTCCCGCTATTTGAGTTCAGCTAAACCGTCGGGTTGACAGTTGCAAGACTGGCAATCCCGGATTCGAGACTTACTGCAATGGCGTACACGATCCAGCTCGCCCAATCATCATTGATCGTTTGGACCAGACTATCCTACAGAGAAAGGATTTGGTTGCTGATGGTCTGCTCCCGACGCGCTCCACAACGGCTTCGGGAAACCCTGGGCGGCCTATTCCATACAGATACAGCATTTACCGAGAATCGGGAGCGACTAACGTCCCGAGCCGTCGGCCGTGCAGGCCAGAATCGTAATGCCGCCAATATCGAGCCCCACTCGACGCGCTCCGTCTTCTGACCGTGTAAGCCATCACTGAACCGCCGGGATATTCTAGTCAAGACTAAGATCGAGCAATCGCTAGCTTGGAGAAATATATAAGCTGAAGACCTTGGTCTTAGAGGTCTTGATCATACCAACACAATTCTTCTGATTCAACGATAGCTTCATCAAGCCCTTAATTCCAATAGGCCAATCGTGGGAAAAGCGCCAGCTATGACCCTCATAGCCCAACAAACCGACGGCGATTCTGCACAAGGCGGTGTCCCCAAACCAACGCACGAAAGCACTCTCTTAGATGGCGTGCTCCGATGGCCATCTACAGGACTCAAGGTTCTCATCGTTGGTGGTGGGCCTGCCGGCCTACTGACCGCTCTCGAGTGCTGGAAAAAAGGACACGATGTCGAAGTTGTGGAGAAGAACAGCAAAAACTCTACAATTGGTGAGCCATGTTTTTGATATATGAAGCAGAGATAACGAATAATCAGAAATAAATGGACTAATTGACACTCGGACACAGGCGATGTGATTTTCATTGGACCATCTGCTCTCGCAACTTTCAAGGACTACCCGAGCATGCTCGAGGAGTATCACCGCCAATCGTGGGATGCGTTCTGTTCATACCGAAGACTTGATGGTCAAGAAGTCTGTCAACCTCAAGAGTTCGAGTACAACAGAGACGATGTCCAGCCCCACGTTGCTTGGCCCCTGAGAATCAGGACTATGGTTAGCCGACCAGGCATGTCAATCATGTTCTACGACCAATGCGTGCGTCTAGGCATCCCGGTCAAGTTTGGCGTGAATGTCGTTGACTACATTGAGAATGCTGCCGAAGGAACAGGCACTGCTGTCACAGCTGATGGCCAGCGACTCACGGCTGACATTGTGGTTGCTGCCGATGGTCTAGGCACCAAGTCGCACAAAGTGGTCATGGGAGAAGCAATCAGAGCCGTTCCCACAGGATTCGTCATTTGCCGCATCTTCTACCGCCTTGACCCGGTGAAAAACAAGAACCTCTATGAGAAACTGATCAAGACGACGAGACCTGATCTTCGCACTCATTCTGGGTGAGTTCTTACCGACACTTGATGAACTCATCAGTATGCTGACTTTGTTTTTGTAGTGGCGACTTCCATTGCATCTTTATCACTGCTAATGACTCTATTGTCATCGCAATCACGATGCCGGTATGCCGCTTTTCCTGGACCACACTCGCAACTAGTTTTGCTCTCCTGACAGATGGAAACGACTAATCACTATCGTTATAGGACGATGGGACTGCATCGGAGTCATGGGCCGAGACCATCACTGGCGATGAGTTTGTCAGTAAACTGCCAGTCACCGAAGGATGGGACCCTTTGATTTTGGAAGGCATTCGAAACATCCCCGAGAACAGCATCGTCAAATGGCAGCTCTGCTGGCGCGATCCTCAGCCTAAGTGGACATCGCCCGAGGGTCGGATTCTTCAGCTTGGTGATAGCGCGCACGCCTTTATTCCATCTTCGATATCTGGCGCATCTACAGCGCTGGAGGACGCTCAATCTCTGGCTGAATGCTTGCGGCTTGCCGGAAAGAAGGACGCCAATATTGGAACTAAGGTTCACGAACTATTGCGGTACGTCTAAACCTATATGCATATGGCCTCTGATCCCTCGAGCCAAACTGACTGTGCCTGAAACCAATAGCATCCGACGCGCCTCTACCCTCCAGCGTCTTGGATTCGCCAATCGACGAGAGATGCACCGGAAGGGTGGATTTGAAGAGGTCATGAAATCTGCCGCAAAAGGGGGCCCGATGGGACTTGGCAAATGGATATGGACTCACGACCCTGCGAAGTACGCCACCGAAAAGTTTGCCGAAGGCCGCAGTCATCTCGAGAATGGCACTCCCTTTGAGCATACAAACCTTCCCAAGGGGTTCAAATGGGAACCCAACTGGACCATGCAAGAGGAGATTGAGAAGGAGAAGCGGGGAGTTCACACCCCTGACCTGAAGATGAATGGTGACTGGAGCATCTACTAGACCTACACGATGTGTTGTATAGACGACCCCTGTCAGAATTATAGAGTTAGAAACATATACGGAGGCGTAGAATCAATAGAATATGTTTTCAAACACAACACCAATCACCTTGATCCTGACTCAACACCCATTTCGGCATGTACCTGCGAGATATAAAGCCTCAGTGCTGCGGCTAGCACGGCTTGATGCCCACTTCTACCACGTCGAGCGGCCTTGAAAAAGCCTGAAGTTTTATCACATTAATTATGGTTTATCTATAATAACAGTCTGTTTCGTTACGGATTCTTGTAGGCTTTGTAGGCTTAGTACTTTGCAGCGCGCTTACTACTGTAAGGGCTGCTGGATGCCGACGACATGACGAAGCTCAAAGGGAAGACAGGCAGTCAGTCTGATCACGTAGGGTAGAGTGATGTAGTGAGCTCAGTGCGACTGCAAATCCAGGTGATTCGTCGTCATGAGATAAAAATCACGATCAAAGGTTGAGGTGGAGCACCGCCGAGTGTCGGTTTATCGCAGGAGGAGCGCCGCCTTGCTCCAGCCAGATTCGATTTGTAAACTGATTGAATTTGTAAAGCATTCCGATTTGTAAACGTGTTTGATTTGTAAACCCAGCTGACCACCAATGATCACCATAATCCTTCCTGCCAGCTGTTGCCGATATTGAAGTCGTCGCTTACAAGTCGCTCATTTCAGACAACAATCAGAGCTCTTACTTTGAGCGACTTAACGAAACAAAGTGGGCTACATCACCGAAGAATACAATTGGCTAAGGATGTCTATCCAGACGCGGTCCGTTGATTCTTTGTCCTCGAAGTTCAAGCCGTAACCTAGTACAAGGCACGGATGTGGCTGCAGGAGGTGCTTACACCTTATGGGCGCCACCTCTATTGTCCGGACATTGGCGCGGGGGCTGGAGTATATATGATGGAGAAGTCCGACAACATCGCGGGGATCAATCCCCGACCTGCATCAACGAAATCGACTGCTCTTTCACAATCTTGCAAGGACTGCAGTAGAAGAAGAAGCAACGATGAATTCGAACGCGATTTTCAGAGTCGACGGCATCGTCGCCGTGATTACAGGCGGCGGGACAGGTATGCATCCTCCGGCAAGACGTAGATGAACCCAGTGCTAAGACAGCACCTAGGTATCGGCCTCACAATGGCGAGGGCCCTAGTCTCTCAAGGTTCCGCCAAGGTCTACATCCTTGGGCGCCGTCTTGAGGTGCTTGAAGACGCAGCCAAAGAACATCCCAACCTGATCCCCCACAAGTGCGATGTCACCTCAAAGGAAGACCTCCAATCCATTGTTGACCGCATCACCAAGGAAGTCGGCTATGTCAACCTCGTTATCGCCAATTCAGGTGTTCTTGGGCCTTCTGTTCGCTTTAACCCAGCGCATTCCGTTTCCGATTTGAAGAAGATTCTCTTCGATGACTTTTCCATGACGGAAATGACGGAGGTTTTGCATGTGAACATCACGGCTGCCTTTTTTACCATGTCAGCCTTCCTTGAACTCCTTGATGCCGGTAACAGGAATGCTCTCAAGGGTGGTTTCGGCAAGCCAGACCAGGAAGGCAGCAACGTAATCGCCATCCAGAGCCAAGTCATCTTCACGAGCAGTATTTCGGCTTTCAGTCGGCACTTCTCCTCGACGCCCCCGTACTTGGCTAGTAAGACTGCTATAATGCAGCTCACTAAGCAGGCCAGCAGCCAATTGGCTAGACATGGGATTCGTGTGAACGGGATCGCCCCTGGGTGTGAGTACTACCGTTCTGATTCTGCATCTCAATTTTGCAAAACTAATAAACTCCAGTATTCCCCTCAGAAATTGCTTCTGGGCTTATCGGTGACCGCAAGCCAGAGACCGAGTCTCCTGATGATACGAAATTCATTCCCGCGAGGAGGTTTGGGGGGGATGAGGAGATGACCGGAGCAATCCTCTACCTTGCCAGTCGTTCCGGCAGCTATTCGAATGGTTCGATCATGGTCATGGATGGTGGCCGGCTGAGCGCCATGGCTAGTTCCTACTAAGGGTATTCTAGTTTCTGGTGTCGGGCAATTCTGATTCCTAATTGAGGGTATTTACAGCTCAATGCCTGCATACCATATGATATCGATGGATGCAAACTTGATAGGAATAAGTGAGGATGAGACACGTATATTCGATATTGTGTGCTACCCCAAGTACGATTATGTAAACAGACCTGGATATCGGAGTTGCCGCTAGCCACATTAAACAAATGGACAGTTGGCTTATCATCAGTCCGCCAAGATGAAGAAGTCGGACATCCAGGTTGTGTGACTGCTCAGGCTTAACCGAGATCATAAAATCACAAAGCACTATCCTCAATTACGAGACAAGGCAATAGCCAGCGCGTCCTTTCGAAGTTGTAGTGCATTGTGATTTCAACATGAGGTACCAGCTCGCCAACAAAGACCGATCCAGCCTTCAACTACCAACAAAATCAATGGACAGTACTATCTGTGCATGATTAAGATTAATCGCACAAGGGCAAGACCTCGGCCTTTAAAATCTCGCAGATTTATTGTCTCTGGCAGTGTGTCACCAATCGTTGCTACTGGGCAAGAGATGATAATGAAGCAATCCACCGGCATCCGAATGCAGAGTCAAGCCCACGACCATACAAGCAACTTCCACGAATCTTATTCCCAGGCTTACTTGGCATCGTCAACTTCGTATAAGCTCTACGCCAAATTTTAGACAGTGCCAAGCTTCCACTCACATCGCCCGCCTTACTTGACGTAACCCAGGCGCACCTCCCCCCTCGGCAACACCTGTAGGCATGGATGGCCTCCCAGTGTCCAACGAAGCCGAACGCGTCACCCATGTGCTACCTCTCTTCCGATTTTATTTCGGGGAAGAACTCGTTGATGGGTTACGCCGACAGCGCGAGACGGATGAGAACAACGTGATGACACGAATGTTCAGAGCCGATGGCGAGGGCCAGCTTGACGGCTTGATGAGGAATATTCTGAGTAAACACGGTGTTGATGATAGATATCAAATACCGAATTCCCGACAGCCACATAACGGTACTGGGATGCACACTATTCTCCAATGTCCCATCATCGAAGAGACGCCAGTCAGCAACAGCCTAAACGACTTCCGCGAAATCGATGGCTGGACTGTCGAAGAGCATTGCCAACTGCACAAGCAAGACCTAGCCTGGTTGAACAGCAGAGTCAACGCCATATCCGTCGACTCTGGACGCAAGATTGTCATCTTCACGCACTACAGTCCGACCGAAGATATCCGCGCTGTTGAACCTTGTCATGCTCAAAGCGACATTAAATCTGACTTTCAAACAGACTTGCGAAACGAAGATTGTTGGAAAAGCCCTAATATCAAGGTCTGGGCGTTCGGTCATACACACTTCAACTGCGACTTTGTGGATGAGGCGACAGGGAAGCGACTCTACACCAACCAGAAGGGCTACTGGCAGGAACACTCTCCAGGCTTCAGGGAAGGAAACGTGGTTCATGTGGATTGAGGCTCAAACATAAGAGTTTGGTCTCAATGCTCTCGGCTGGAGAAAAGGTGGTTCCCTAGCCTTGTGGGAAGATAGCAACCCCAAAGGAGTTTCCTCCTCGAGTTGGCCATAGTTGGCTATATGCAGCCTACAATCGTAGCCAACCCCTAGCCGCCCAGAAGAGAATGAAAAATCATTTGTCTACCGCTTGATCAGTATAATTTTTCACAGGGGACTCGAGTGGAACGCAATTGTGGTTTTCCGTTCTGCAAAGTGGTCACTTTTCCGAATCGTCCCGACCCTCGCGTCCGTATTCAGTGGAGAGAATGGTCGGTCAGCTGCCGCAGCCTGTGAGAGACTTGTTCTAGAAGAGGCCGCGCTCAAGCTCACCGACTCGGTGGTACCACGACCCTCTTTTACCCCTTTCTCCCCAAACTCAGGCTTGCGGAGGATCTCGGAGGCTCTCCGGTGAGACTGAAGTGCGGGATGAACAGGAGGCATCGGGGCAAGCATCGAAAAGTTTGGGATGGTCATCAGATGGTGCAAAACATGGAGAATTGGACATGATTCTGGGGGGGTGGTTGGGGAATCAGTCCTAGCGATTGAGCAAAAGGATGGAGAAAACTCGAAATAGATGGTAGCAGACGTGTGAAATCCAAGAAAGCCAAGACATCGCTCTCCATTTATCATTTCTCCTTTCCCCATTAAAGACGTTCGAGTCGGTCCGTTGAATACAGCGAGAGTCTTGGGCGGTTCCCACTCGCAATCGGACCGTTACACTCCACATTCCACCCCGAAACTGCGGAGAATGGGGCATGCAATTTGGGGCCCCGACGCTCCGCGCATGGCGGTCAAGTTCCCCGGCTGCCCCGATGGGAGGCTGTCGGAAGTATTGCTACACAACGGATGTCCCATGGGGGCTCCAGCATTATGGGCGGAGAAGCATACATACTGGAAGTTTTGAACTGTACTGTGAAGCTATCAGACCATGAAGCCAGAACCTGTGTGATTGTAGAAGGCCAACAGGAGCTGTCCAGCGGACGAGACGCAAACTGTCAGATCAAAGTTGCCAGCTATGCTTTCCCCTCATCAAGTCGATCTCAGTATTCATATGAGGGTCAAAGAAACCTGTAGCGAAATGCTTTCAGTTGTTTGACTGTCGATGGTAAACTTTTCAAGATGGAGCAACAAGCAACACTTTAGGTAATGCCAGAGGCGTCCAGCGCGCTGAATCACGGGGGCATCGCAGGGATGGCATTGACTTGTTAGTCTGCCCAGACTGAAAAAGCACAACTTTGCCAACTGCCAACATTCGCCCAGCCAGCAGCCTTGGAAGTTCCATAGTTAAGTTGAACAAGACGCGTTGCGCTCACAGTCTAGGCACGTCACATTCTGTCTCGGAGTAATCCAGTGACCCGGCTGCATCTTACAGCACAATAGACTTCTGAACAAGCAGAAACAGGTCGGTCGCGCCGCTGTCTGACTCGCACGTGAGGGTCTGGGGATCGTCATTACTTTTTATTCCTGGTGTTCAATTCCAAGACGTCGCGTTGTGCAAACCCGGCCCCACGTTGCCGGTTCCGTCTTCGCCTATTGCAGGCTTTGAAATTCGTTTAGCTGGAAGAATCAGCTGTCTTGCAGAGTTTCCAGGGAGACTCGGTCGCGCTTTGAGAGCTTGGCCTCCCATCGTGGACTCATCTTGGCAGCATAAGCAGGTGTCTTGGCTTCACAAATTGATTCCGTATGCCAATGTCCGCGTACCCCTGCCTCGCTGTCGGCAATGACGGGGGCCAAGCAGCCGATCTGAAGCCTCACCCTCAAGTCTCCCAACCATTGTCGACGGAGTGAGCCCCATGAACAGGTGCTTTTCGCCCTGCCCAGCTTGTCTATTGTCCGACCTGAGCTTTTCAACTCGCTGGCACTGCGAGCTCCCTAGCTCGCACGACTCGCAGACACCAAGTCCTGCCTTGGTGGAATGCGCGGCGCCCTTCCAACCCCGGATTGTCGATGCATGGGGCTTCCGACAGTCAGTCGCGTGGGTGGCGCCTTTCCTGTCTCCCCCAGATGAAGGGGTGGGATGAAAGTGGATTGTGTCCATGTACGGATACAACAAGTACTTCCCAAGGTCATCCCACACCTTTCATCGAGCCTTCATCAATCTTGCCGGTCTGCGCCCCAGTATGGAGAAAGGATAGGACCGAGTCGGCCTCTGGGGCAACGTCATAGCATCGTTGCCAATCACTATAGTCGGTCAGCCGACTCAGGCTCGTCCACATCTGCGAAGTGGCAGGATGTGGCTGCAGTATAAAGCCATCACGGTGCATACTTGAGAGACATGAGCATCACTTCCCACGCTCTCTGGCTTTCCCACACAACTGGGCTTGAGCCGACCTTTCATCCTATCTCCGCTACTACTTCACTGGACTATTAGGACATCTGCATGAGTTCTTGAGCGAAGAGCTTCTGCTCCTTCACACACTGCTCCAGATTCCACCCAAGTTCGATCTCGATTCCGTACAAGAGCATCTGAAAATATGGGGTTGGGCAAGAAGTAAGAAAGAGCCGTTGCACTGTACACTCTGGTAGTCACTAATCCCAAGTTAAGGTCCATTCGCATTAATGGCGCCGACTGCGGCATCGAGTCGCTTTTGCTTGGTGTTATCACCAGCATAGGAGGCTTCCTGTTCGGTTATGACACCGGTCAAATTTCATCTATGCTTCTGTTCACGGACTTCAAGAGACGCTTCGCAACCGGTGCACCAGACGCTGACGGTATTCCACAATGGGTTCCCATCACCCAGTCCTTAATGGTGTCGCTCATGAGTATCGGTACTCTCATCGGTGCGCTCTCAGGTGCCTACACAGCCGACTGGTGGGGCCGACGAAGGAGCTTGAGTTTTGGTGTCAGTATCTTCATCGTTGGAAACATTATCCAGATCACAGCCATGAACTCGTGGGTTCACATGATGATGGGTCGCTTCATCGCTGGTCTGGGAGTCGGCAACTTGTCTATCGGTGTGCCCATGTTCCAGTCGGAGTGCTCTCCCCGCGAGATTCGTGGTGCTGTTGTCGCATCCTACCAGCTTCTCATCACCTTCGGCATCCTCATTTCCAACTTGATCAACTTCGGCGTTCGCAACATCCAGGAGTCCGACGCTTCATGGCGCATCGTTATCGGCCTTGGTATTGGCTTCTCCCTGCCATTGGGCTTGGGAATCCTCGCCGTTCCCGAATCTCCTCGATGGCTCGCAGGTCGTCAGGATTGGGAAGGCGCTCGCATGTCCATGGCGCGCCTCCGTGGTCTTAAGGACGATCCGCACAACGAGACCGTCGAGAAGGATCTCCAGGAAATGTTCAAGGTCATTGAGGAGGAGTCCAAGACGGGCTACGGTACTTGGCTTGAGTGCTTCACTGGATCCTCTGGAATCCCGAAGACCGTCTACAGAACGATCCTGGGTATCTGCATTCATTTCCTGCAGCAGTGGTATGTTGCGGTCCACCAAAGTTTCAATGTCTAAGAACAGTGTCTAACACACACCATAGGACCGGTATCAACTACTTCTTCTATTACGGAGCACAAATTTTCGAGTCGGCTGGTATTGACGATCCGATCATGGTTCAGCTTATTCTTGGTGCCGTCAACGTCGTGTGCACTTTCTATGGTCTCTATGCTGTTGAGAGATACGGTAGACGCTGGCCCATGTTTATTGGTGCTCTGTGGCAGTTTGCCTGGCTCACAATCTTCGCCTCTGTCGGCACTGCCCTTCCTCCCGAAACCAGCGCAACCAGTGGCATCGTTATGATCGTCTCGGCCTGCATGTTCATTGCTTCCTTTGCTAGCGTAAGCTTCCCCCTGCCAACTTTAACGATTCTCCTTACTGACTATCTATCTTAAAGACCTGGGGACCTATGGCGTGGTGCGTCATTGGAGAGACATTCCCTCTCCGAACTAGAGCCAAGCAGGCATCTCTTGCTACCGCCGGTAACTGGTTGGGCAACTTCCTCATCTCGTTCCTGACACCATTCGCGACCAACGGTATTTCTTTCGCATACGGTTTCGTTTTTGCTGGTTGCAACTTAGCCGCCGCTTTCCTCGTATGGTTCTTCCTCTACGAGACGAAAATGCTGTCCCTCGAGAACGTCGACAGAATGTACAGCGATCCAAGCGTCAAGCCCTACTCTTCCACCAAGTGGGTGCCTCCAGGCTACATCACTCGCAAGGATAAAGACGAGTCCGCGTTCCAACGAGCATCGGTCCACACCGATAACAGCAACCCGACTGAGAAGGCAAGCGATGAGAGACCTTTCTCCGAACATCACACCAAGCAAGAAACTACATCCAACGCCGTTTAGGCCATTATAGTTTCATAGTTGCTTGCGTCTATAGTTTTAATAATAATCCCGTTGAACATAGTCCATGTGTAAGGTCATAGAATCGGCCGTAACTTCGCCGTGTGGCACATGGGCGTATGCTTTCCCCTTCTGAAAGACCTCTATTTCAAAGCTTGAGAGATATTACGAGGATGAACAGATCTTTTGTTCGAGCTATTGTTTAGAATACCAAGCTGTGTCCCTTTTCCCCTTCAGAACGTCACTGGCCGTCTCCAGTCCTCATGAAAATATTCGAAGGTCTGTCTCGGTGCGCGAATTGCTCTTCAACGTCATATTCGATCTCTGGACCTTCTTGCTTGAAACCCAGCTTGGAATACACGTGTCTACCCATACTTGACGCCTCCAAGAGTAGCTCAAGCCCGCCACGTCGCTTCGCCTCATCGAGACCCCACTGAACCAGCTTCTTGGCGATGCCCTTACCCTGGAACTTGGGATCCACGGCGCACATGTCCAGCACGAACACTGCCGGCTCAGCCGCCGTCGCCTTCTCTGCGATGACCTCCTCACGTCGCTTGTGCAGCGATCCCATACAGGCTGCGGCGTATCGCTGCTCGGCTTCGTTGCCGGGGAAGATGGACTCCAGCCCGAGCTCCTTGATCAAGTCTTTCGGTGGCTGCTCGCCGTGACCTTCAATGGCGGACTGCTGTGCCCAGATTGCCATGCCTACGATTCTGCGCTGTCCGGCATTTTCGGGATCCGGAAGGGTGGCCTTGAGGAAGACGACATTGGGGTCGCCCTTGTTGTTCTGGTTGATGGTTTTGAAGCGGTTAGCCATGCGACCGGCGCCGCGAACCACGCCTTCCGGCGTATCCCAGCCGGGGTTCATGGACAGGTAGACACCATCACGAGCTTGGTGACCGAATGCGTCTCGGACGACCTCGGTGACTTGAGTAAAGTCCTCGGACTGGGAGATGACTTCGATGCGGACATCATAGTTCTGCCCCGCGACGGTGGTGCTTGCCATGGTTTCTGCGGGGTAATCGCGGTTGAAGACTTCAAATCGCGGGGTCAAAATGCTAAAGTCTGGGTCGCAGGGGCTTCGAGGCGGTGTTACTGCGCAAGATTCCAATGAGTCTCGAGTTTGGTTGTTGAGTCTACAATTTCTGCATGGAACGAAGTTAAGTGGACAAAGTGTCTTTACTGAAAACTGAAAAATTCAGCACCTTTGCCAAGCTCTTCTCTTGAGCACGACAAACGGACAACCCGAGTTGAACCTGGACGCATGAATCATCCAATGCCCCCGAGTTGGTATGGCCCACTAGACTCCGCATCTCGGAGACGAAACCCCCGATTTAGTCGTCAACTCCATGTGCCTTGCTAGTGCCCGAGCTGACTTAACTCTTATTAACAGACACGATTGATCCAGTTCATGAGAATGTAACGTTGAATGACAACATAGGCTCTTATGGATTCAAATGTCAGAGCCCAAGAGCTAAGTGAGAATGGAGAAAGTTGTGAAATTTCAGACGGCTGACTCTGGTCGAGAAAAGACTGACCATGTCCCAGAGGCCGAATGCCGTTATAGGTAAGAATTGAGACCCACGCTAGGCAGCTAGCACTTTTTGATTCACAGCGTCCTACGGAACAGTGGAAAATCAATGGTGTTTAACAACAAGAAAGAGTTCAAGATGCTTGGCATCAACTAATCATCCTACTGGTTTCGTCATAAACACTTAGTGCATTCATGGTAGCTTCAGGCTTTTCCATCCAATTGATCTAATTCTTTTCGGCGCTCCCTAATGTTTTCTGACAAATTAACAGCCAAATACTCTAGCAGTGCAAACATTGATACCAGCAGCTCCAGCGCCAGGTGCAGCCATGTACTCGCACTTTGTCGCAAATGTCCACGAGCCATGCGGCGCAGAGTACTCCACAACATCATCACGGAAGCGCATGTATGCTGAGTATCCAGAGCGGCAGTTCAGACCTAAGTTTGAGATTACAATTAGCTATTGGTGCATAGTTGCCATGTCAGAGTGCGGTGATAATAACTCACGCCAGCCATTAACGTCGCCGTATCCGTTCACGCTGCAAACCTTTTGACCATTGTCTGTGAGCGTGATAGTGGCATATTGGAAGTTGTTGATGCTTGCGACGAAATCGACGCAAGCTAGTGCAGAGCCGGCGAAAGTTGCGAGGACGACGTTCTTGAGGGAGACCATGTTGACTAGATGGATGATTTTCGTTTAAAACTTGGGGTTGGCGAGTTAACTACTGAGGAGATGCAAGCTGATTGAGGTGATTCTTCTGATCGTGAGGATTGCATGCAAGCACAGAACAATCATACTTATACTTGGCCGTCCTGAACATGATCGAGCTCAGACTATTAGCAAACTTCTGCAATGAGAAAAATAATGGCTGCCTGATCGGAAATGCCCCGTAGTAATTTCTTTCTCAATAAGCCTACTAACGTTGGCAAATTTTGAGGTCTTGACCGCTGCGATGTGAAGTATTGGCGGCTTACGTGCCAAGACAAATGTCTAGCTGCCTGCCTCGCCAAGTTAGACAACCCCCAAGCTCTAAGCCCCATGGGGTCTGATGTCGCAGGGGGGCCGTTTCCCCTTTCAGGATTCGAGGTCACCTTTCAAGAGGAAGTCTACCCCGATTGGTTGTCTTGTTAGTTGAACTAAGAGTATAACATTACCTCGTGAAGCCAACAGTGAGTCTGTCAGGTAGCTACTGACTCGCCCCCCAGCAGCGGCAAGCGACGATGAACATTGATCCTTTCGCTGAAACCCTCGCAATCGGCAGTCTTATCAGCTGGGAATGGAGGAAATACACGCTTTCGGCTATTTGATTTCAGCTGACGTGAGATTCTCTGGTCTGTTTAATGAATGGGTGTAAATTGTGTTCGAACAATATGACAACGCAGAAGTCGGGTCCACACGCGACTTGCCTGATGCTTATGCAGGCAAGTTGTTCAACTGCAGCGAAGAATGACTCTAGGACACCAAGGTAATTGAAACGTTCTGTGGCTCGTTCTGAAAATCGTTATCAAGCGCCAGATCTATAGTATTTTCGGTAGAATAATTCTGCCCAAGCAAATGATCGACTAATACCATGTTGTGTACTCCGTAGGTCCTTGATGGCGTAGGCACCCCACAACCCGAACTGAAAGTTCTTCTGGACCATCCCTGCCGCCTTCCCTGCCACCTTAAAGTTAAGTGCCCTTTCGATCCGAGAGAAGTGTCACCTTAATCTCACCTCACTTGCAAAGTCCCGTAGCTTCAATAGATGATTGGTCTGCTTGTACTTCACTTTCTACTCGTCATAAGCTAGAGGAGTTGACCCATGATAGAGTGTGAAATGACAAATGATTAGCAAACACACGGTAAATGGTTCAGCAGACGTTTCTAAAAAGCGAAGTGCGATTCAAGAAATCTAAACAATGTATCTACAAGGCTGAACAAAAAAAACAAAGAAATGATCCAATTGATCAAGGAACCAAACGTTTGAAATCAGGCAGAGCCAACAGCGAATTCCTTGACAACCTTACACACTGGAGCTGCCCCATTAGCAGCATACTCGCAGCGCTCGCCCTTCAAGGTAGAAGCCAGACCCCTCTTCTCCTCCATGCGGGCAAAGTGACGGGAGCGCTTGGCGGGAACGCTCTTGGGAGAAACGTCAGTGAAGGCCTTCTTGGTGGAGTCCCAGATCTTGTTGTCGGAGGTGATGAAAGGAGCACCGGCAAACTTGGTCAGCGACTCGTCCTTGCCATTGAAGAATCCAGAAATCTCCTCAAGGAAGGGAACAGTATCAATGGTCTGGTTCTTGCCGGAAAGAGAGCGCTTGCTGAAGGACTCCTTGCAGCTGTTGCGGTTTGCGACCTGTCCCACGTTGTCGGTAACGTACTTGCAAGCCTGCTCAAAGGTGGTCTTGGCTAGTGTGTCGTTCTTGCCCTTATTGAAGATACCGGCAAGGTTCTCCATGTCGAGGTGAAGGGACTGGATGGGCTTGTTGGTGCCGTCGGGTTGACCGTCAAGCCAGATGCAGCGCTGGCGAACACCATTGAGGACGGCGCCCCAGTTCCACTCGCGGCCGCACTGGAAGCCCAAGTCACCAACAGGGATAAAGACCTCGTCGCGTCTTGCCTGGGTGTCACTTCCCTTGAGAATGATGTTGGAGACGCAGATGGCATTGCCACCAGGCTGGATATCGAGAGACTTGAGGTTGAAACCATTGTTGGTCTTGAAGCTCTGAATAGGCGCCTCAGCGTTCTTCAGGCCCTTGAATAGTTCCAAGTCACCATTATTGCGGCATTGGTCCTCGGGCTTGTCACTATTTCCTTCGAAAACACCAAAGATCTGGGTGTTGGAGAAGTCGGACAGGATGATGGAAGGAGGGTTGCCCGCGGCATCTTGGTTGTCTCCGATTTCCATGCGGATGGTGTAGAAGTCAACCTCCTTGGGCTTCGTGTTGATGGCCGACATGATGCCAATGCCCGATGAGACGAGCCCCAAAAAGGTAGCGACATTGCCAATGGCGGTGCCGAGGGTTGCAACTGCTCCGATAGCGGCCATTTTGAATCGAAAGATTGGTTGTAAGTGAAAGTGGTAGGAAAGTTCCTAAGTGAGTGAATAAAAAGCACAAAAAAATGAAGGAAGTACAACTCGTTGTTGCGATGGAAGACTGATCTGATTGAGGTGATGATGAGAAGAACGACATATTTTCGAGGACAAGCAAAGACTTTTATAACATCATGACACTAACGGAACTATTCCTATTCTATGTACGGTCATCATGATCACTCCTCAATATCAATTTTGATGATGCCAATCCATCACCTCGCTTAGCCTCTTGATTGAATCCATATTGCGCCTGGCCAAGTAAGGCCAGCCTTTTCCATGGTAGTCGGCGCCGAGCGGACACTTTGGCAGTACAAAGGCCGAATGCCCGATGCTATTCTCAGCTGCCAAGTCCGTATTCGATGCTTCGTGAAGTGAATTAACAAGGTTATTGTGGACTTCTTAGCATGCATGCTAAGAGGACTGTAGAATCCAATTCTTTACTTCTGAAACCGGCCAGGCGTGACGAGGGATCGACACCGGCAATGCTTGACAACTAGGATCCATGCACATGCGGAAAAGCTCTCCGATACAACTCTGAAGGCATTCTGGTTGATGATGACACTGGCGAGTTGAATCGATCAATTTCCGACTACCACGAGGATTTCTTTTCGAAATGTGCACTGGGCTCGAAACTTTGCCTTCTACGAATTGAAGCTCTTCAAGTCGGACTGAGGGGACGTACGCGCTCTCAGCTGCCATGGAATCAAGCGGAGATGCGGAGTAGCGTCAGTGCAAAAATAGAGTTCCTCTAGCCCACGCAGTGTATGCCCCCTATTCTGACCAGGAAGGCCTCGAAGCGGTCTTGTAACCGGTTCCCTGCTTGCTATGGAATAGAAGCTCTAGACTCCATTTCTCCATGATAACTGGGCTGATGCTAAGCCCTATCACAAATTTTCAAACTCGGTGGTGCATCCATGAACAGCCCGCACTATGCGGACTGTTTTTCACCGCCGGCGGCGGGCTTTCAACTTAGTGAACATCGTTAAGCGACTTGTCAAAGCTGTGTGTCGTGTTCAAGGCGTTTCTCAACGCATAAAGGAGCTCGGCGTCCTTGTAACCCCCTGAACATGTCGCCTTGGCAAGCAGCGATCCGGATGAACTCAACGACTCGACTCGTTTGGAGGCCGAAGACTTGGCTATGTTGACAGGACAAACACCTTTCGGTAGTCCCGTGATAAGTTATAGCATAGCGTCTTGAAAAATTCTGACATTGATTGGACCTTTGGGACTGAATGCAACTCTTTTGACGCATTTGCCTGTCTATCGGCACCACATGTGGAGCGTATTTTTGGTCTCATACTCGCGGAGCCGGTCTGGGGGGGAAACCACATACAGAAATGCTGCCCACAGCAATGAGCGTTAACGCTGATCTGTAAACATCCAAATAGCGTGTGCTTTTCCTCCGAGATCTTCACGACAATCATGTGGGAGGGAGGGCAAAAGAGAAAAGGCCATCCTTACATTCCGAGGCCCCATGTCGTTCGATGGCCGAAAACCGATTGGCTGCTCCTGTTTCACCAACATGGGGGCGATGAGGAACAACCTTGTTAAGGGTTTCAGCCTCTGGACGAACAGTAAGCCATTTAGTGGCCCCGTCCAGCACTGCCACTCTTCATGATGGGCTGACAGTCGTTTCTGGCCCATGGGAATGGGCGACAGCGGGCCGCATGGATCCAAGTTTAGTATCGCCATTCTCGGCTCGTGCACATAGTCCTTTCTCACCTAGCCAGGAAACTTTCCGAAGCCTTAGGAGGATGCTTTAGCTGGCTTGTGGCAACCTAGCTGTGGGGTCTTTCTATGTGGTACAAGTGCAGGAAGTATCCTGGCATAGGGGACAAGACGACTTCTGACGAGATATGCGTCGATATTGATGGATTTAGTCTGGGACCATCTTAGTCCACTTGACGTCGACCACGGTATTGTAAAAGTGTCGTCGCCTTTGCCAAGAGAATTCGACCATTTCTCTCGATGTGCCAACATCGTGATAAAGTCAGGTTGCCCTTAGGAACAATAATAGTATAATAGGATTTCTGGATCCACCAAGTCAACACGAAACAGGGGCGCACAGATAGTAGTCACGGTCGAAAGTTTCTTGCCAGTGTAACATTGACTAATTATCTCGGCAACCTGTTGCAACACCTTTTTTCATCGTTGAGTAATCGACCTGGTGTTGAAAGCACCAAGTTTCGAGGCTCCCCGACAGGATTTGCCGAAGGACCGGTGACTTTGTTGAACTTTGTTCGATAATGAGGTAGACCCCACGCCGCACCGACTCACAATTTTCAAGGCGAGCACACATCACTATGGCCTTCGTTATAGTACATAATCAGACTCATATTGCGCTACTACAGTGTAGCAATATTGGGTCGTGACATCGCTGGTCCCTCCTTATCCGCCTCCTCCTGAACAAGGTAGGCGCAGATCATCAGCCTCAAGCAAACGGTTGAAGGCCCCTCACGGGGCATCCGCGAAAGCAATACTATACTGGGCGGTGAGAAATACAGGAGAAATCGATTGGGAGAGTTTCATAGTATTCCCACCTTCGCCTTCCTTCTCAGCCTAAAAGTACGTATGGTGGTGTGAGCTCGTCTTAG